AAAAAAATTGTTGCAGTTACCACAATCTCACTATAATTTATAGTCAGTTTAGGAGCCAACCACATTCGTATAATTCTTCAAACTACGTAAGTTACGGTTGACCTAACAATGCATTATAGTTTTCATAGACACAATATTGGTCTATGCAACTTATGATATTTTATATTTACTTATATTTTATAGTAATGTTTTTAAATAGTTGGCATCACTGTGCCTATATGGTAGCTATTACTGATATTATAGCAATAATTACTATAAAAATGATATTCCTGACTATATTTATTTTGCTATGCAATTACAGTTTCAAACACACCATTTTCTATCAGTGTATTAGAAGATTTTCAAACGGCGGGTCCACTTATCAAGATGCAGAAGCAATATCGTTATGTAATAACATTCAGGATATGTGAAACAGAGAACGTCATAGTTATCTAATGTACATTATTAACCGGTTCTATGCAAATTTGGAGAAAGTGTGACGATTACGTCATCACGGGCGTGTATCATAAGACTATCATAAGACACAATGAGGAGTCGATATTAAGTCACGTTACAATTGACGGGGATACGAGCAAGTAGATATTAAATATTATAATCCCTTAAGCCTTATAAATGTTTCTTCAAAACATTCCGAGGTGGAATGTTTTTGAATGGGCAAAGGCGAAAAGAGGAACCGGTCCGGGGTACACTAACAGGTTCCCAGAAAAAGAGCCCCGTGTCGTGCTCGACGCGAAAAAAAATGGGCGTAGCGGCGCCCATGGTCGAGCGAGGTACATGACTATTGTGCGTAAGCTCCCATTATAACGCGGTAAGCTATGCATTATACGGCGATAGCCCGGATCGAGAAGCCGTGTCCGCCTGTCTCCGCGGCGTGCCGGGTCGCGTTCCGTATAGAGTGAAAAGGGGGCTCGGGTGGCGATCTCCGGGGCCTATTTATATTATGCTAGGAGCCGGAGAGAGTGCAAGTCGAGACAGGGGGGGGAAAGAGGGAAAGAGCGACCGGCGCGAGCCGCAGCAAAAACAACAAAGGGGCGCGAGAGACGGCTACTTGGCGAATCTAGTTACCGAGAAAGGCGAGGTTCGCGATGCTTAAAACTGCGACGGAGGAGAACGCGACAAAGCCCGAGAGATCCTCGTGTCTCTTCGCACCTCCGACTTTTTTTCTCTTTCTTCTATTTTTCCCAAAAGAACGACAGTGACTCGAATACCTCGCAGGCTATAATTCTATGAGATGAGAAGTTTGGTTTCCTCATTATACAACGTTGAATTAAATTTCCCATTCATCGAATCGATCGCCTTTGTTTCACAGAATAAAGTAAATCCTTGCGCTTTTACGAAATTAATTTCGCTTTACGAATAACAAGAGTACCGACTGTTTTACGCCTATACCATTAATTTATTATTAATAATTAAAAAGACCGAGGGGGGGCTCGCGAGTGTCTCTTCCGGGCTGTAACTCTATGAAAATAATGTTAAATTAATTTTCCATTCGCTGAACTGACACTCCCTTTGTTTTATAAAATGAAGTAAAGCCCTTTACTCTTTTAAATTAATTTCGTTTCATAAATAACAATCATTACGGTTATTTTACACAATTGCCTATTACTGATTCATTGCCAATGATCGCGCCGACGCTTGATTTACGCGAGAATAATTAGCACCAAAGATTTAAGGTTTATCCGCGATGCATTAATATTATACGTGACGGAACACGGGGATCGATCCGAGGCAGATCCAGCCTCCTCGGGCACGGGGCTGCGGTCCCCCCTTTTACGCGTTCGGCATCCGAATAATTACGGCGTAGATACCACGGCGGAAATTTTATCGCGACGCAATATCAATATTCTGGAGATTCCGCGAGACAGAGGCAGCCGCGCGCGCGCGTTCCGGTCCGTTCTCCGCTAAGCACTCCCCATTACGGCTGCATATTTAACGTGCGCTGTCGCATAAATGCACGTTACGGATAGCTGCGCGTATTACAATAAGCAATTAACGAGCGATATCGTGTTCTATAAATTACGAGGCTCGGATGCATCGGCGTAACCGATGCTCGCGTACGCGAAACGCGAAACGCGCGGGTGCATCCCGTGATACGTGAGCGCACGTGTGCGCGCCGGTGTACACGGGCGGGAGCGTACACGGGCGGGTTATACATACGAACTTGAAATAACGAGCCCACGGAAAAGGGAATAACATGGCAATGTGCGCAATCCGCTCCCCGCATTATCGGGATTCTCCATTATCGTTCTTAATCTTTCGTAATGCGCGACGCGCGCATTCGCGATTTCCTATTTCGCCCTTTTTCACCCTCTCTCTCTCTCTCTCTCTCCGCTCTTCCTTTCTCTCCCCGACGGTCATACGTTCCGATCTTTTTCTTGCGCGCGAAAAATATACGGTTCCACGACCGCGGAATAAAAATGGAAACGGTCCAATCGCGACGGGAACGGTCGGATATTCAATAACCTGATATTCAATATCGCAACGCGCCGGAGAGAGTCGGCCGAGTTACACAGATGTTTCTCCCGCAGCCGTGTGTACTCCGCCGATTCCAGAAACGCTACATTGACTCCGGGGCACTAATTCAATTTGTATGGCATCTTTTCTCGAGATCATAATCGGGATTAGCCTGAGCGCGAGAGCGAGGTGACGGGGGCTGCCGCGTCAACGGGGGGGGGGGGGGG